ATTTGGAAAACAAAAAGTGCATTACATGAACTAATGGCTAAGTATTGGTATATAAAACCTGTTATATGCGCACACACACACCCTCACATTCTGAGCTGTGATACAAATTGTATTTCTTAATGTGGATCATGGTCAAAATGGCTCGAAAGCCATTGCTTTACATCCTCTTGTAGCTTCAGTTCCTTCCATTTCCTCAGTCACATAAAACTCCATCCATATCAAGCCACTTGTGGTTCCCCAAACCCATCTTGCCCTTCCTCTTCTATACGTGTAAGTGTACAGTGCTAGGCACCAGGAACGCAGTTGCAAGAAAAAACAAAATCTTGCTTACACGGACAAATATACAAATCACACTATTTAGCTGTGAACCCAAATAAGTAGTCTAAATGAAACAAATATGGATTTTCAAGAACGTGTACCAAAGACAATCAGGGAGACAAGGGGGCCATCCCTGAAGAAGAATCAATTAGCAGAGATCTAAAGAACATGTCAGTTATCTAGGTAAAAGGGTAGAGGAAGAGCATTCCAGACATAACAAAATATAGGCAGCCCTGGGATGAGAGAAGTTATGGCATGTCTGAGGAACTGAAAAGAAGGCCAGAGTGCTGGAGCCCAGAGAACGAGTGGGAGGGTAATACAAGACAGGACGGGAAAGGCTGGCAGTGGTTAGACCAGGTGGGGACTTATGGGCTAGGATTTTGTTTTCTGTCCTCAGAGTAATGGAAAGCCATGAGGACGATTTAAACAGGAAATGATGAAATAGGAGTTTTGAAGACACTGTGTCTGCAGTGTGGAGGATGGACTAGAGGGAAGGAGTGGCTGCAGGAAGACCAGTTAGGAAGCCAGTAGAATAATCCAGGCGAGTAGTGACAGTGAATTGATTCACTATATTGGAAGTCAGAGGAACGAGGAGAGAGGGTGTGGTAGTGAAATAGAGACCGACTCCTAGGTTTTGGCTTGCTAACTGGACAGATGGTGCTGCTAGCTGAGAGTAAACTGGAAGAGACAGGGTTTGGAGAAGACTCTGGGTTCAGTTTTAGATAAGCTACATTTAAGGTGACTTTGAGTTGGATATGTGTCCTGCTAAGACAACCTGGAAGCCATGGGAGTATAGCTGGTAAATGAAATTGGGCATATGAGTGTGAGGAAAATACCTGGGCTTGAGCCCTGAATGCCTCTCCACTCTTCCTGGTGTTGTATTTCTACTTATTATAAACGTCTATGAATACACATAGTTAACTACTGCTTTAAAGTTCAAATATAGAAATAATAAAAAGCAAAAATCTGCTCACTCCTTGGGCTTCTCACTGTGGTGGCTTCTCTTGTTGCGGAGCATGGGCTCTAGGCACGCAGGCTTCAGCAGATGTGGCACGCAGGCTCAGTGGTTGTGGCACACGGGCTTAGCTGCTCCGTGGCATGTGGGATCTTCCCAGACCAGGGCTTGAACCCATGACCCCTGCATGGGCAGGCAGATTCTTAACCACTGCACCACCAGGGAAGCCCCAATCTGCTTCTTTAAATCAGCAATGTAATAAGAATATTCTTCTCTATCATGGTATAGACAGTTCTATCTTACTCATCTGAATGGCTACAAAGTATTACATAGTAGGCCTGCATCACAATTTAACCAACACCCCAAGTCACCACTAATGGATAGCTGGGTTATCTGGCAGACAGTTACCTGCCCATTCAGTAGCCATTTCCCCCTCTGCCTTGCTCACTGAACCTGATTTTGTTCCAACAAGCAACATGTTCTACCATAGGTGATAGTTCATGATTGGCTTAAGGCAAGTGAGACCATCCTGTTGGCCTACCTTTTCAACTTCCCTTGCAGCTATGGGCAGTAATGTTATCAGGCTCTGGCTAATAACCCTAAGTAGAAGTCTGTTGTGAGAGTTTCTGAGTAAGCTTTTGCTTTCCTGATAAAAGAGAACTAACAGGAATACTGACTGCTCTTTCCCCTTTCTTCTGTTTTGGACATGACTATGATGACTGGAGTTCCAAAAGTCATCTTGCAACTACAATGCCATAAGCCAGCACTAAGAAGAGTAAAGCAGAAAGGCAAAGAGAAAGCCTGGGCCCTGATACACAGACACACACGTAAACAGTGACTCATTTTAAAGAATCCAAATGTATTTCCACTTTAAAACCTGAAAAAGTAAAATGAAATGTTTTAGATCAAAGATCCAAGGCAGAGATATAAGTGATACCCTACAAAAATAAGCAGCACACTTAGAACAACACAATGGGGAAACACTTTCAGCTGTTCCTGAGAACACCTTTAGATGCTAGGTCTAGAAACGTCTTCCTGGCTCCCTGCCAAGCACATCCCTCTGTCCTGCAACTCGTTAAGGAAGGCCTTTGTATACAATCTCTCCTTGTTGGAAATTTCTATTTCTTTTGCCTGCCCTTTGAAAATGTGCCAAATTAAGAAATAATCTTTTACATGAAAAGTTGGAAGGTGTTTGAATTGGGTGAACCATAACTTTTCATAAGTTCACAACTAGAGTAAGTGAAACATCAGAAGTAAAAACTTTTAAAAACAGACAGAAAAAAATCCCCCCCTTTCTGAGAAAAAGTGCTTCCTGGCTATTTAATTCTAGAAAACAATTTCTGTTATTTTACTGTAATGGTGATCGTTTCTTCTGTTCTCAATTTTGCCAGCTTCTCATGTTCTGGCAAAATATGTTAGATTTCTCAAAATTCAGCAACTTGTAGCTCCACTTAAACACTTAAAGGCTATTAAGTTAATAAATTTATACTGCATGAATAAACTATAGTTTTAAATATTAGACGCAAAACAACTTTATGTGTAATTCAAATTGTACATAAGCCATATTTATGCTTCTAAACAAACAGAAGCTCACATTTGTACTACTTTTACAGTTTACAAAGTGCTTTTACATTCATTTTCCCATTTTCTATTCAAGACAAACATGTGAGTTAAATATTCTCTTTTCACAGGTAGAAATAGAACCAGACATTATTCAGTGCTTTAACCAGTATATAGTATAGCCCTGAGACTTTAGATCTGCAAAGGGTTTTAATAAAGCAAATATCACATATATTTCAATTTTTATCACCATTTTCAAGTTTCCATTTTCTTAACAAAAGAAAACAATGAAAAAGCTTTCCACAATCTAATAATAAAAATGGGAAATATTACATAGACAGTTGTCTACTAACCCAATGAGTTGAGATCTACCAGAAGCAAGTTTACTCTGAGGGTCCTATATTGTTACCTATAAGTAGGGCACCGGCACCAGAACCACATTTAGATGAGTAATTTTTCTACTTTAGAGAAAATAATGCAGGACACTCCCAGTGCCTCCAAGTCTAATGTACATATATGTGTATGTGTTAGGGTATGTAGGTGGCCAAAAAGGATACAGAAAAATACTTAATCTAGATTTTTAGAGTTATAGGACCTCTGTTTTTCCCATCTTAGGTTTTTAATAATTTGACAATTGTTTGGTCATATGTCTCATCTTTAGTAATACACTTATTTTTCTTTCCACACCCCCTTTCTTCCTAAGTACCCTGTACATTAAGACTAGAAACTCCAACAGGTAGCTTTCTTTCTGAATTATCTTCCCTACTGCATACTTTTTCCAGAATTTTCCTTTCCTATTTCTATATCTTGAAGACATTTCTTTACAGTAGATGAAGGAACTATATAGTTTATATTCATTATGAGAAAAGATTAGTTCCAGCATTGATTTCCCAGCAAAAAGCTGAGAGAAAAGTTGAACAGAAAGGAAAAGAACAGTGTTAACGGGCAGAGTGGTGACACCTGCACTCAGAAAGCTGCACTGCAGTCTCCGAAAATCTGAGGGTATCCTTTCATTATTGTGCTGCCAATTTACAGAGGAAAATTCTGGCTGGTCATGACTGCAAAGCAGACCAGTATGTTTAAATTATTGGTTCAATGAATCATTCTTTTTGATGTTATAATGTTTTTTATTGCATTTGAAGACGTTTTCAATAAGTATCTTGAGTTTGAGGCCTTGGCTAGGTAACCCTTCTGCAGTAGAAATCAGATTTTTCTGGCACAACTCCATTGCCAGCAATGGGATTTATCAAAACTACAAATGCCAGCACACTGAATATTTCAATACTGTACTCAATTGTTCATATCTAAATATTTCAGCAATGAAACAAAACCAAAGGTAAATGCTTAATATATAGTACAAATCAACAGATTCTTCACAGAAGAAAACAATGAGACTGATTTTCTACAACATGTCAGCTGTTCATTAGTTCTTCAATAATATTACTTGGGTTATTTCAAATATAATAACATTTATACACCACTACCCATGTTTTCTCAACATTTTCTACGTAGGTCCTAAAGGGCATAATAAACAAGGATGTATATAGTCAGAATTGTTTTTATAAACTTTCGATGTTTCTTTTGTTATGCATTGTACAATAATGGAGAATATAAGGAGACAAGGACAAATGTACATTTAAGTTAGTGGTTACATGAATTTTGCTTATATGGCTAGTTGCTTATACGGGTCTTGCAAATGACAAAATAAAGTAACAAATAAAGCTCATCTGTGCCCTGTGAACTTTAGTCCACTCACAGCATAACTTGATTCAGTCACTATTTATTAGTTTTAAAAAATGTTTTTTAAAAACTGCAAACCAGGGATTTCCTGGTGGCGCAGTGGTTGAGAGTCCGCCTGCCAATGCAGGGGACATGGGTTCGTGCCCCGGTCCGGGAAGATCCCACATGCCGCGGAGCAACTGGGCCCGTGAGCCATGGCCGCTGAGCCTGCGCGTCCGGAGCTCGTGCTCCGCAACGGGAGAGGCCACAACAGTGAGAGGCCCGTGTACCGAAAAAACAAAAAAACTGCAAACCACACTTTATCACACATTTCTGAATCAAGAGGGGGTAAATTGTGACACGGTTCCCTCATGCCACTGACTCTTTTGGAGAGAAAATTGCTGCAATTAAACAAGTTTCCAAATTCTATAAAAAAGCTTTTGTGTTCTATGACTGACCTTTACTCTACAGTCCCTTTGACCCAAGGCACAGTCCCTGGTGCATCTTTTTGAGATTTAGTTTCGGGGAAGTTTTCAGCAAACCTCTCTCGTGCTTTCTCCCAGTTCTTTTTGCTCTTGTTTTGGAGAAGGTGAACATCTTCAATTGAAGATGGCTTGCCTGTCCCCAAGCCTGCATGTGTTCGCCGAAGTTGAAGCTGGATCTGTTACCAAAAGTTAAGAAGAGAACTTACTGTAGTATCTAAACACACTGAAATCTGCTGTATCCAATTTGGTACTTTAACTATAATTCTTTGAATTAGAAAAGATTGATGCATAAGAAATAACTGTCAAATGCATCAAATACATACAGGAATAAAAACATGATTATACATGATTATACACTGTCTTGCTTGTCAATAAGTACAGTTGACTCTACAGAAAACAGAATGCTCCTTAAATAGCAATCACCAAATTTCACTGAGATGCTGCAGAATCAATCTGTCATCTACTCTAACGAGAAGTAAAAGCAATGGATGTATTTAAACCTACAGTCCAAGCCTCACCTAAGTAAGTGAACAGGTAAGTTAAACATTAAGAGTCATAAAAAGAGAACTTGTTTATTTTCATAAAAGGAGGGGAGGACTTCGCATTATTTTGAGAACCATTATCAGCCACCAGTTACTGAGTGCCTAACATATTTCAGGCACCATCCCAGGGGCTTTATGTTCAGACATCCCTGAAAGAGTTCTCATTATCCCCATTTTTACATATGAAAACTGAAATCCAAATTTGCCCTAAGTCGCACAGCTAGTAATAGAACACATATTCTAACCTGACTACTAAACCCATGTTCATCCCACTGTACCTCAATGAAATGAGAAAATTTACATTAAACTCACACTGATGCACCCATTATTTCTTTAGGTACCAACTAATTATCAAGAAAGTTCTTTGATCATATTACTACTTCGTAAGGTTTTTGTGAAAGAGAATCTGAACCTCTGATGAACCATGGGACTATAGAATTAAACCACTGCATTGTTTTCCAGACATGATTCTCTCTATTGCTTGTTACACGCTCTGAATCTTGAACCTAAAACAGATTCTCCAGCTAGTACAGAGTCTGCCTGTTCGTAAAGTAACACTGTGATTGCTCTTGCATGTTAGGACAAGGCACAGTAAAGAAGTCATTAAAAATAACTAAAAGACACAGAAGAACTTCTGGCTCAGGAAATAACATTCACTATCCTAGTCTGATGAAGGAAAAAACTCTAAGAGCCTTCCTAAGAACTTTAAAAACAAAACAAAACAAATCATAAACACATATATTTGGTAACTGTGATTGCCACAAAGGTAGTAATTATGTCTCTTTTTGCTTGCTACAATACTCCTAGCACTTAAGGCAACATGTGGCATATAGTAATTACAGTAAATATATCCATTACAAGAATAAAGAATGAAAGAAATCTCAAGTCTTACCGGAGTTTTCATTCCTCCACCGTCCTTCCCTAGGCCCTCTCCTTTTTTCCAACCCATCTTTTCCAACATCTTCCGACCTTTATTGCTATCAGTAATTTCACTTTAGAGAAAAGTAAGATGAGAGTTGACTTCTAAAAGACCATTTAAGTCACATTTATAATAAATTCATGAATTAAAAATAAGTGGTACGACTACTTTAGAAACTATTTGGTATTACCTAATAAAGTTGAAGATACACAAATTCTACTCCTACATATACTACTTAACAGAAAAGGGTATGTTCTGCAGCCAAATCTAACAATAACCACAAATCAGAAACAATCCAGATGTCCATCAATGGTAAAGTGGATAAACTGTGGCATATTCATGCAAGAGAATATTATATGGCAATGAAAATAAAATGTACCGAACATAACAAAGTAATGCTGAACAAAAAGAATACAGACACAAAGTAAATACTAAATTATTCCATTTATTTAAAGTTAAAAAATAAGTGAAATTAATCTGATGCTGGTGAAGTCAGTAGAATAGTTACCTTTGGCGAGGAGAGAGGAATAGTGATTAAGAGGGCACACTAGGAGGGTAGGTTTCTGGGGTTACTGATAATTTTCTATTTCTTGACCAGGACATGTATTCTGCAATGTGTTAATCTTATGATGTATCACTGATATTGATACTTACATTTATGAATTTAACATCAACAAAAAAAGTTAAAACGAAACTAAACCTCTCATTAACTATTTGCATTTTGTTTTACGATTTTATGGTCTGCTAATTTAAGGGTATTTTAATTTTATGTTCTAGCACATTGTCTTTTCAGTTCTACAAAATATGTAAATTAGCTCTTCAATAACAATAACCCAAGGAATGTCAGACCAGTGGATTTCATTTTTCATTTCTGTCTTCTAATTTAACTGTAATGCAATCTTCATATTCTCCAGCAATTATTTCAAAAAAACCTTAAAATATATTTGTCATGTTGCTTAGCATATCTAATTTAAAATGTTATATTTCATAAAATGTGACTCCATAAATTCTAAGATGCACTGTTAGTCTATGTACCATTAAGAAAAAACTGCTATCACATGTAACTGTAAAATTCTATCCAAGTAATATACCTTAGAATCAATAAAATGACAGTAAGTCAAAATTTAGTAACTAATTGTTAGTTCTACGTGAAAGATTTAAATGTTAACTAAACCTAGAATTTATATTCTGAGAAACAAAATGTAGCTAATATATGATTAAATGCAGAAATACAATCATTCTGTAGGTTTCAAAATTACATTTTTCATGTTTATCAATGCTAGTTTACCGAAACGAACTCAATCAAAAATAAGTAAGGGGGCTTCCCTGGTGGCGCAGTGGTTGAGAGTCCGCCTGCCGATGCAGGGGACACAGGTTCGTGCCCCGGTCCAGGAAGATCCCACATGCTGCAGAGCGGCTACAACACAAACCTTATCAAAATCCCAGCTGGCTTCTCTGCAGAAACTGACAAGCTGATCCTAAAAATCATATGGAAATGCAAAGGACCCAGAGGAGCACAACAGTGTCAAAAACAAAAAGAACAAAGCTGGAGTATAATAATCAAGACAGTGTGGTACCAGCATAAAAAGAGACATATAGATCAATGGAATGGACTTAAGACTCCAGAATAAACCCTCACATTTATAGTCAGTTGATTTTCAGAAAAGAGGTCAAGACAATTCAATAATGAAAGAATAGCCTTTTAACAAATGATGCTGGATATCCATGTGTGAAAAAATGAACTTAGACCCTTTCCTCATACTATATATAAAAGCCAACTCAAAATGGGTAATAGACTTAAATGTAAGAGCTAAAACTATAAAACTCCCAAAAGAAAACATAAGAGTAAATCTTCATGACTTTGGGTTAGGGAAAGCCTTCTTAGGTATGAGAGTAAAAGCACGAGCAATGGGGAAAAAAAAAAAAAAAAAAAAAAAAGTAAGGGACTCCCCTGGTGGTCCAGTGGTTAAGAATCCGCCTTCCAATGCAGGGGATGAGGGTTCCATCCCTGGTCGGGGAACTAAGATCCCACATGCTACAGGGCAACTAAGCCCAGGCGCCACAACTAGAAAGAAGCCTACGCCCCGCAAGAAAGATCCCACATGTCACAACTAAGATCCCGCGTGCCACAGCTAAGACGCGACGCAGCCCCCCCCACCAAAAAAAACAGTAAGAAAAATAGTATTTCAGGGTCAAGAACAGAAGCAGTTGAGTTCTGAAATAACTATTAAAAGTATCAGTCCATACCAATTTCTTACTAGCCCAGCCTCCTAATTATCTAATATATAAAAGTATGGTCACTCAATTGTGTGGCTACAATGTTAGCTATGCATATATATGTGTGTTTAAGTTTGTATGTGATAAATCTGTATGTATACTTACATATATGATCAGTAATTTTCTAGGGAATAACGCAATACCAATATCAGAGGAAAATGTAAACAGATGTAGAGTTTCCATCTTGATCTATATTATTCCTTTAAAAGGCTACCTATCAGATTATATAGCCCTATAAATCACATTACCCTATGAATCTGATTATGGTACAAAGACTGTTTCAAACAATTAAAATTTGATACTTACGAATGAACAGATGCAGGAGCATCATCTCTTTGGAAAGTTCCTTCACTTCCAATCTGCTCCCTACGTTTTCCAGCTCTATCTTTATATTTTGGATTCTTCAAAGCCTTTTCATCTTCGTAGTCTGTATTCTTCATAAACATGAAATATTCATTGAGGAAAACAAAACTGATAAATAAAAATATAATGTCTGTATATTTGCCTTGCTTAACAAAAATGGTTCAATGTGGTCTCCATTAAATAAGCCATGATATAACTGAAGATATGATACAAATTAAGACAATTACATTATTGAATATTTCTATTCTATCCCCTTTAATATAGTGAAAATATAGTATATTTTGAATCAATGCTGTGTACTCATATTCTCATATGAACTACCAGTATTCAAAAAAATATGGAGAACCCCTGGGGCTGGGGAAAAAAATCTACTTCTCCTTTTCTCTAAGGAACTGAAAGTTCCAAAGGACCTAAAATATTTTGATACTGTTCCTGAGAAGGGAAAAATGTAGAAAGTCTTTAAAAAATAGATAAAAGGAAATAAATACTGTTTTACCCTGGCAATAATAATAGCTTTTTGCTTCAATACAGCTTCATTATATGATTAATCAGTCACTCAACAAATATTTTCTAAGTAAAGAGTAAGTTATGCCCTATGCTAGGTGACAGAATGCAAAGAAATTTATAATCCTGAAGTGCAGACACACACAGTCTTCAGCATGTTACAGTATGACTGGTTCAACAATTAAGGTATACACAAGATATGGCAGTGGCACAGAAGAGACAGGCAATTCAGCTTGGGGTTTCAAAGGTTCCTCTTCCCCTTTGTTACTATTTGCTAATCTTTACATAAAAAGTACAACATTCATCCAAAAAGATGCTATGGACTGCTAGAGCAATGCAAGGAAAGTACCACAGAAGTTTTTACTTAATTTTGCTTTCAAAACAGAAAAATACACACCACCAACCCTAATGGGTATTCCCCCCAGAAAATGATGTAGAAATTAAGCTAAAATTTTGAAAAAACATTTTATTCCCTCCTTATATATCTTCTATTTTCCTCCCAAATTAACCTCTTAACATTTTTTTCTATTATGATTTCTCTCCCTTAGTACAACAGTAACAAAAAATACAATTCTGCATAAAAATATGTTATTTTGGCAGCATCTTTTCTGACTTGTTCATAAAGTGTAAAAAACACTGGACAAATACACTTAAGACCTAGATCCTGTATCTAGCTCTGTCGTTTAGTAGGTAGGTGACCAGCTCTAGTTTCTCTAATGTAAAATGGCAATATTAATTATTTTCTGGTCTACTTATAGGATTAAATGGTAATTTTTTTAAACTGCCTTACTGAGGTATAATTAACATACAATAAATTACAAAGTGTACAGTTACTTTTGAGATTCATATACACTTATGAAACCATCACAATTAAGATAATAAACATATTCATCTCCCACAAAAGTATCCTCGTCCTTCTTTGTAAGCTATCCCTCCAGCCCCTCTCCCTGTGCATCTTCTCCTGTAGCCAGGCAACCACTGATCTTTCTGCCATGATACATTATGTTTGGTTTCCTAGAATTTTATAGAATCGAAGTATATAGCATGTTGAGTTGATCTTTGAACAACATGGGTTTGAACTTCGTGGATCCACTTATACATAGATTTTTTTTCAGTGCTAAATACTACAGTACTACATGATCTGCAATTGGTTGAATCTGTGGATGCAGAACCCCAGGTATACAGGAACTGTGGACATAGAGGGGTGAGTACCAGCTATATGCAGATTTTTCAACCAAGGTGAGAGTCAGCACACTTAATCCCCGGGTTTTTCAACGGTCAACTGTATTCTTTTTGTCTGGCTCTTTCACTCAGCACAATCATTTTGAGATTCATCCATGTTGTATTCTGTATCAATAGCTTATGCTTTTTTATTGCTAGAGTGTTTGACCATATAGATTTAACATAGTTTGTTTATCCATTAATGATGGACAGATGAGTTTTTTCCAGTTTTTGGCTTTTAGAAAAAAAGCTGCTGTGACCATTTGCTTACTAGTTTTTCTATGAACATATGCTTTCATCTCTCTTGGATAGAAATGAAAATACTTTGAAGTAGAATGGTGAATAATACAGTAGGTGTACATTTAACTTTTTGACAAAGTACTAAACTCTTCTCCAAAGCAATCACACCATTTATATTTTCACCACCAGTGTATGAGAGTTCCTGTTCCTCCACATGCCCACCAACACTTAGTATGGTCAGTCTTTTTAATTGGTTTTAAATTGCAATTCCCCAATGACTAATAATACTGAACATCTTTTCATGTGTGTATTTGCCACCTGCTTTGGTGAAGTGTCTATTCAAATCTTTTGCTTCTTTTTAGATTAAGTTGTTTTCCCTTATTGAGTTTTCAGAGTTCTTTATATACTCTAGGTATAAGATACATGACTTTTATCAGATATATGATTTGCGAATATTTTTCCCAGTCTGTGGCTTATCTTTTCATTCTCTTAATCGTGTCTTTGGAAGAACAGAAGTTTTGGAGGAAGTACAATTTGTGCTTTTATGGATAGTGCTTTTAGTGTTAGATACCTTAAAAAATCTTTGACTTTTTTTTTAAGGTTTGCTTCTAGAAGTTTAAATTTGTATGTATAGTCCATTTTGAGTTCATTTTTATATGTAATGAGGTGGGGATCAAGGTTGTTGTTGTTGTATATGGCTATCTAATTGTTCCAGCACTGATCGTTGAAAAAAGACCATCTTCTTTCCACCAAATTGCCTTCACGCCTTTGTTGAAAATCATACACACACACACACACGCACACCCATATACACATTTATCTATGTATCTATCTATCTATATGGGTCTATTTCTGGACTCATTATTCTGTTCCATCAACATATTTATCTTTTTGCCAGTACTATACTGTCTTTATTGCTATAGTTTATAGTAAGTCTTGAAATCAGGCAGTATTAGTTCTCCAACTGTGTTTTTCAAGGGTACCATTTTAATGCAAGTTTTTTAAAAACCAGAAATGACTATTCCAATATAGGGTATTATCATCACTTTCCTACTCCAACCTCAACAGTTGTTGAGGTAAACAGTAAACAACTAACAGGAACTACATAAATCTCAAAATCATTCTAAATAGCTCTCTTTTTATATATAAAAATGGACTATGCTTATCTACAGGCAGTTTTATACAAAACCAGATGCACAGTTTAACACATGTAACAATATTTAACTCCCTTACCTGCAAACCATATTTTACTCGTATTTTCTTTAATTCTTTTCTCCTTTCCAGCTCTTTTTCCTCCTTACTTAGATTTGGACCAACTAAAAGGAAAAACTGAGTTTGGTTTAAAGAAAAAAAAAAAACACTAAATCTGATATAATACTGCTTATTTAATAATGAAAAACTAATAGTACTAGTATCCCATCTGCAGATTAATAAGAAGTTCAAATAAATTAATATAAAAGGATCTTAGGTTGTGATGATGTCCTTTCAGCATTTTGGTAATTAAATCTACTTGGAAAGCAAACCAAAACTCCTTTGGTTTGTTTTAGATACTGAAAGAAACACGGAACACCTTAATTTTTCAATATGGTTAATGTAATAGAAATCCAAATGCAGAAATATTGTGAGTTTTCCCAAGGAACATAAGCTTGTGCAAAAGAAAAATAACAGAACCCAAGATTCACGTTACTATGTAACGTGCCATACTCATTTTCATAATGTAGTATGAGAAAACAAAAAATACATAATGAACGTGTATAGCTGGTATTTAAAGGAAACAAACGATTTGAAAAAAATTACTTACTAGTTAAAAGTATCTTTCAATTTTTAAAGCCTTAGATGAGTGGGTTTTAAACAAGATAGTAACATTTTACAGTATTATTTATTATAGAAAGTAATGGTATATACACAGATAATATATCAAACAAACTGTAAGTAGGAAAGCAAATATATCAACCAATAAATCTTAATACCTTGGCCTATTATTTTCTATGTTACTATTTTACATCAGAGTTTAACTGTGGATGACTTTTTATATCAGTAAACAGATGTTAAAGGGAAACCAATCTCTATTTATGTCACAATTACTCCTTTGAAGTTCATTTAGCTACCACTGCAGCGCTGCTTCAAAAGCCTATAGACTGGATTAGCAAAAACAGAGCTAATGATTATCATTCCTGGTCATTAAAGTAACCTAATGCTGTAATAGTGCAACTAAATTATTACACAGAAAAACCAACTACAATCATAATCTACTAGTCTAGGTCTCAAATTTCAAATACATGTCATTTCTTAGTCTCATTTGATAATATTCACTTAAATATAAATGTATCTCAATAGAGTATTATATCAATTAGATATGAAGCTGGTAATGATACTTTTTTAGAACACACAGTGAATTAAAAAGCTACCATGCTCATAAACAGTATGTTTCACATACCAAAAGGTTCATCTTTCTTATCAAGACGAAGGTGAGCTCTAACCTGCCCTGGTTCACAGCCATCACAGGTATCACTGCCAGGGTGAATGTGAAAGGACAACACAGTCTCTCCAATTTTCACTTCATCTCCATGCTCAAGTACGTAAGGGTCACATTTAGTTTTGGGCTAAAGGAGAAAAAAATTACAAAGCCAAACCCAAGAGAGTTACATATGGTTATTTCATTTATTTTATGTCTACTGTAAGTAATGTCTGATTATAAAAAAAAAATTGAGATTGTTCTCAATGAGATAGACATATGCACACACATTTCCACAAAACTTGAAGGTGATGCATAATATTCTACTAGTTGAGAAGATGACAACTGAACCGAGCAACTTCTAATTTTTTTTTTAATATTTATTTTATTTATTATTATTTATTTTTGGCTGCATGGGGTCTTCGTTGCCCGGCGTGGGCTTTCTCTAGTTGCAGCAAGCGGGGGCTACTCTTCGTTGTGGTGCGCGGGCTTCTCATTGCAGTGGCTTCTCTTATTGCAGAGCACAGGCTCTAAGCGCATGGGCTTCACTAGTTGTGGCACATGGGCTCAGTAGTTGTGGCTCGCGGGTTTAGTTGCTCCGCGGCACGTGGGATCTTCCGGGACCAGGGCTCAAAGCTGTGTGCCGTGCACTGGCATGCAGATTCTTAACCGCTGCGCCACCAGGGAAGCCCTCTAATTTTTATATTATCAAAACCCACTGATCTCCCCATCTCCATGCCCAATCCTATCACAGAAATACCCAACTCAAACTTCAAACAGTCTATTATCAAAATGAAAAATCACAATCAAAAAGATGAAGTGTTAAGGAGATAGGTGCATCATATTTCCCTTTTTCCGTCCTCTCTTGATAATTCAGTTTTATCTCATTTTTGATTCTTATAGACTAAGACCTCCCTCCCTCCCTTCCATATATTATCTTATTATGTGCTAAAGCACTTTGTTACATGTTGGGATAGAAGAGTTAACTAAATAGACATAGCCCCTGCCTTCAAGGAGCTTACAGTTTAACAACATTTCCTTTAACAGTTTAAACACACACACACACACACACACACACAGGATGGCCCCTAAAGTTGCTATAAGAATATTTACTCTGAATAGCTTTAAAATGCATTTATTTCTAAAAATAAGACACAGGTACATAATTAGAAGTCAAAACTCAACAGTTGAGTATCCACTTACTGTATACATTTTTTAGCCCTTTCTAAGAACTCCCTTCCATGTTAACACATTTGGGTGAATACCAATCTGAACTAAATGGTATGTATAATAACTATGGCCCTGAGGGATAAAAAGTTTCATTTCAGTTTTTTAAAATAATGTGCAAGTATTTAATTAATAAGTATATACTCACTTGAAGAATCTGTTTTCCATTTACAATTGTACCATTTTGACTGCCTTGATCCACAAGGACATAACTTTGTAAGTCGTGATCAAAATAAATTTCTGCATGAAACTTAAAAAAAAAGAAACCAGGTAATTATAAAGTATTATACCTTTTTTAAACCATAGATAATTTCTCTATGATAAGATGCAATGAACTTTCGTCTCTTAATAATTTAACTTTTATTATTTTTAATACATTTTTCTCAGAATACAAAAGTACAATGCTTCTGGTAGAAATGAGGAGACTACAGGAGAAAAACTCACCTATAATTCCACCTATAATTACCATTAATAATTTAGTATGTGTCCTACCTTTTCTACTTTTATAATATAGTTGAGATTATACCATATATATAATTTGAAATAATTTTTTCACCTAATGTATTTGTTCATGTTATTAAAAATTCTTAATACAAAAGGTGATTTGAAACATTCAAGACTGACTTCTCAGTTTTTTCCAAATTTTCAATACTCAGAACTAATCACTCCCTTCTGTTCCACAGCACTTTGTTTATATAACAATTATACAAAGTTCCCGTATATGTGAATGTCACTGTACTGCTTACAATTATTGCTTACATTTATTTTTATTTATTTATTCATTTATTTGTTTATTTATTTGGCTGTGTTAGGTCTTAGCTGCAGCATGCAGGATCTTCCTTGAGGCACACGGATCTTTTGTTGTGGCGTGTGGGCTTGGGCTTCTCTCTAGTTGTGGCGTGTGGGTTTTCTCTCTAATTGTGGTGCACGGGCTCCAGAGTGCTGTGGGCTCTGTAGTTTGCAGCACGCAGGCTCTCTCGTTGAGGCGCTCGGGCTTAGTTGCCCCACAGCACGTGGGATCTTAGTTCCCCGACCAGGGATCGAACCCACATCCCCTGCATTGGAAGGTGGATTCTCTACCACTGGACCACCAAGGAAGTCCCTATTGCTTACATTTAGTTTACAATTTTCTTACCACTTAGTACATAATACAGTACCTCACATATATTGGGCATGTACTCAATACATGCCTATTTAACTGGATATAGAGCTGCAGAAATATTTAATTTTAAATTTCATAAACAATACATTGCCGGTGGGAATGTAAAATGGTGCAGCTGCTTTGTGGAGGGTCTGACAGTTCCTCAAAATGTTAAACAGAGAGTTACCATACGATTCAACAATTCTACTCTGAGGTAGGCATCAAGATAAATGAAAACATACCTCCAAACAAAAACCTGTACGTGAAATGTTCACAGCAGCATTATTCTTAATAACCAAAAAGTGGAAACAATTCAAATGTCCATCAGCTGATGAACAGATAAAAAACACTGTATCTGAACAACGAAATATTATTTGGCAATAAAAAGAAATGAAGTACTGATATATGCTACAACATGGATGAATCTTGAAGACATGCTAAATAAGTAAAAAAGCTAGTTACAGGGGTGGGGTCAAGAAAGCGTACTAGGAGGACAGGGAATTCGCATCCCCGCACAACTAGGGCACCTAGCAGGCAGCGGTGGGGGACAACGCACACCTAAGGGGATGGGAGGAACCCCCAGCAACTGGGTAGGATGTGGGATGTGGGGGGGGAGTGAAGGGGGAGGAGAAGTGGAGGTGGGACGGAACTGGTGCCCCTAAGGGGCGGCTGTGGGGGGGAAGGAATCCCACGCCCAAAGGGGGAAACTGGGGAACCACTGGGAAGGCAGAGGATCAAAAGGGAGCGTTTCCCCTGCCCACTTGGGCCCCCAGGAACCTGTTCAGATCTCAGGCCTGATCCTCTACCCACCGAGGCCCCCTCCAGCCACACGGGTCCTGAGAAGTGGGAGAGAGGGAAGGGGGAGCAAAAGTAAAGGCCGGACCTAAGGGACAGCACCCCTGAGGGGTGGTTAGGGAGGGGAGGAGTTCCTACACCCAGTGGGACCCACCCATGGTTAGGGGTCCAGAGGTGGGGAAGACCCTGGAGGAGACAGTGGGGGAGGGGCACAAAAGAATGGAAGGGAACGGGGCCAGTGCTTTCCCTGTCCACTTAGGCACCAGGGAGCCTGTTGGGCTCCCAGGCTTAATCCTCTGCCCTCAGAGCCTCCCTCGTGCCTCGCAGAACCCAAGCCCCGTCCCCACCCCCCAAAACCCAGGGTCCCAGCTCTGCACTCAGAGACACCCTCCAACACTTGGCCTAAACCCCACCCACACACCCTCACTCAGGGCCCTACCTCCAAACTCCAGAACTCCACACTCCAGAGGCCCTTCTTTCGACATGCTACCTCTCCCCTTTCACGCAGGTCCTAAGCAGAGGCCCCGCCCAATGCCCAAACATGGCCATCTAGGCCCTGCCCCATGCTCAAATGTCACCCCCCACCTGCCTAGGTCCCACCCCACCCTAAGTCCCACCCTTACCTGTTCCACCCCAGATTACACTCTGCCCCCATAGCCAAGGTGCATTTTTTTCTTTTTCCCTCTTTTGGATTGGGGTTCTGTTTTACCTTCTTGATTCATTGTTGTTCTTTTATATTTTTATTTTTCCTGATAAACCTTTTATTTTTCTAATTTTATTTTATTCTTTATACTTTGTTATTGTTCTCTCTTTTTGGCTTGTTCCCTGCCCTCTCCCCCTTTTTTTTCCTTTTTCTGTTGTGGTGTTATTTTACATTGTTGCAGTTGTTTCAATTATAGTTTTATTTTTCCTAATATAATTTTTATCTTTCTAATTCAATTTTGTTTTTTATTCTTTGATACTGTACTGTTCCTTTTCTTCTTTCTTTCTTTCATTTTTTTACCATGCCACGAAGCTTGCAGGATCTTGATTCCTGGGCTGGAGATCAGGTCCGAGCTCCTGTGGTGGGAGCTCCGAGTCCAAACCGCTGGACTAACAGAGAACCTCAGACCCCACGGAACATAAATCGCAGTGAGGCCTCCCAGAGGTCCTCAACTCAGCACCAAGACCCAGCTTTATCCAACTGCCTGCAAACTCCAGTACTGGACATCTCAGGGCAAACAACCAGTAAGACAGGAATACAGCACCACCCATCAAAAAAAAAAAAAAAGAAACGATAAAAAAATATGTTACAGACGAAGAAGCAGGTAAAAACCTACAAGACCAAATAAATGAAGATGAAATAGGTAACCTACTTGAAAAAGAATTCAGAGTAATGACAGTAAAGATGATCCAAAATCTCGAAAACAGAATGGAGAAAAGACAAGAAACATTTAACAAGGATCTAAAAAAACTAAAGAGCAAACAAACAATGATGAACAACACAATTAAAAGTAAACATACACTAGAAGGAATCAATAATAAAATAACAGATAAGTGAACTGGAAGATAAAAGGGTGGAAAAAACTGCCAGGGAGCAGAAAAAAGAAAAAAGAATGAAAAGAATTGAGGACAGTCTCAGAGACATCTGGTACAACATTAAACACACCAACATCCAAGTTACAGGGGTCCCAGAAGAAGAAGAGAAAAAGAAAGGGTCTGAGGAAATATTGGAAGAGATTATAGTTGAAAACTTCCCTAACATGGGAAAGGAAATAGTCAATCAAGTCCAGAAAGCACAGAGACTACCATACAGGATAAACCCAAAGAGAAACACATAGAGACACATATTAATCAAACTATCAAAAAATAAATACAAAGAAAAAGTATTAAAAGCAGCAAGGGAAGAGCAACAAATAACATACAAGAGAATCACCATAAGGTTAACAGGTGATCTTTCAGCAGAAACTCTGAAAGCCAGAAGGGAGTGGCAGGACATATTTTAAGTGCTGAAAAGGAAAAATCTACAAACAAGATTACTCTACCCAGCAAGGACCTCATTCAGATTTGATGCAGAAATTAAAATGTTTACAGACAAGCAAAAGTTAACAGCATTCAGCACCACCAAACCAGCTTTACAACAAATGCTAAAGGAACTTCTCTAGGAAGAAAACACAAGAGAAGGAAAAGACCTAAAAAAACAATCTCAAAACAATTAAGAAAATGGTAATAGGAACATACATATCGATAATTACCTTAAATGGAAATGGGTTAAATGCTCCAACCAAAAGACACAGACTGGCTGAATGGATACAAAAACAAAACCCATACATATGCAGTCTACAAGAGACCCACTTCAGACCTAGGGACACATACAGACTGAAAGTGAGGGAATGGAAGAAGATGATCCATGCAAATGGAAATCAAAAGAAAGGTGGAGTAGCAATTCTCATATCAGACAAAATAGACTCTAAAATAAAGACTATTACAAGAGACAAAAGAGGACAATACATAATGATCAAAATATCAATCCAAGAAGAAGATATAACAACTGTAAATATTTATGCCCCAACACAGGAGCACCTCAATACATAAAGCAAATGCTAACAGCCATAAAAGGGGAAATTGAGAGTAACACAATAATAGGGGATTTTAACACCCCACCTTCACCAATGGATGGATCATCCAAAATGAAAATAAATAAGGAAACACAAGCTTTAAATGACACATTAGACAAGATGGACTTAATTGATATTTATAGAACATTCCATCCAAAAACAACAGAATACACGTTCTTCTCAAGGGCTCATGGAACATTCTCCAGGATAGACCATACCTTGGGTCACAAATGAACCCTTGGTAAATTTAAGAAAATTGAAATCGTATCAAGTATCTGTTCCGACCACAACACTATAAGACTAGATGTCAATTACAGGAAAAATACGGTAAAAAATACAAACACATGGAGGTGAAACAATAAGCTACTAAATAACCAAGAGATCACTGAAGAGATCAGAGGAAATAGAAAAATACCTAGAAACAAATGACAAGGAAAACACGACGATCCAAAACCTATGCAAAAGCAGTTCTAAGAGGGAAGTCTATAGCAATACAATCCTACCTCAAGAAACAAGAAACAACTCAAATAAACAACCTAACCTTACACCTAAAGCAATTAGAGAAAGAGAACAAAAAAACCCCAAAGTTAGCAGAAGGAAAGAAATCATAAAGATCAGATCAGAAATAAATGAAAAAGAAATGAAGGAAATGACAGCAGAGATCAAAAAAACTAAAAGTTGGTTCTTTCAGAAGCAAATTTGATAAACCATTAGCCA